GACGAAACACCATGTGTAAATGGTTTGCCAGTGTGGAGGACGTTTCTTTCAGGATCCTTGGATGGACCTCGTCGGGCCCCAACGCGCAGAATGGGTTGATCTTATGCAAGAGTTGACGAATGTCCTCCACCGTGAATACCAAGTCGGTTAGAAGATCTTCGTAGTTTTGCCTTGACAAGAGTGGATGCGACGAGGACGCTGGGGCTGAGTATAGACACGCATAGTGTTCTCTGTAAGCCTCAGATACCACTGTTGGGTCATTTGTCGGTTCTCTGTTTCTGTCCATCAAGGAGAACGCGGATGGCTTGTTTCTGCGGCGATGTCTCATGTACTTGAACAGTACGTTTTTGTTTTTTCGAGCGAGGTCCAGAATGGTGGCATTTTTTCGTATGTTCCATTGGCGGATTTTCGATTTACAGCGGTTCCGCGTTTTACAAAATGCCAGCTCATCTTCTGTATCCCCTGTGGTCAACTGCCAGGCGATATTCGGTCACCAGTTTTGTAGATTGGCGTGACAATCGCTTTCTTCCAAGCAGAGTGAAGGCGGCCTTCGTCAAGCGACTGACGAAACACCATTCAGTTCAGTTTGCTTGGGCTAACTGTGCGCAACTGGGTAAGGTTGTACCACGGGACAAGTACTTCTAGGCCGCCAACGCTCCCGTGGGACGACTTCGTCAAGCGACTGACGAAACACCATGTGTTTCAGTTTGCTTGGGCTAACTGTGCGCAACTGGGTAAGGTTGTACCACGGGACAAGTACTTCTAGGCCGCCAACGCTCCCGTTGAATGGGACCACTGGCAAACCGTTATTTTTCTGGAAATTAGGTGGTGACTTCCAATCGTGTAATGCGCAATCTGCGGAAATCATCTACCACCTCTTTCGTGTCTGCCAAAGATTGTGTGAGAACCAAAGTGCATTTACAAACTGGTCTGAAGCTACGTAAATAGCCTTAAAAATTTGTGTGGGCAAACAGTCGGACGTCACATCCATGCAAGGTGCTAGCAGCGCCTTGCTGGTATTAGATTGTTTGCACACAATTTCCTTAGCTGAAAACCATGCCAATCAGCCCACACTCAACTCTCCCGTTAGGTATTATCATTTGCCGCACACATCGGTGACTTCCTACTCGCATAAGGCATGGGTGCCTTTCCACAATTTCCTGATGTAATTCTTCATTGGGCGATGGATTAGCAGCGCCGAACTTTCATTCACGTGTTATGCAACTTCTTCGGCTTGTTAGGTCGGTCATTATATTCACCGTTTCCCCCATTAGCTCGTTAATCCTTTCCCTTTGCGTTACTGGGGCATTTGAAATCTAGTTGCACCACAAAACCTGGGACAGGTGCATTCTCCATCGTGACACCCAGAACGTGGCCAGCATTTTTACCACCATTTACTATCGTATTTGCGTCTGCTTGTTCCCACACAAATCTCCATTGCTTCTGGGTTTTCAACCAGACAATCATCCGTTCCACGTCATGAACTTGGTAGGTATCTTATCCATTTCCGTAATCTCTCCCTCCTCATTTTAATGGGCAAACTTACGACCGAGATTACCACTGGCAATCCAACTCTTGAACTCCGCGAGGAGCCTACCGCCATAGACCATTCTCGTCAAACTAAGATTCTCGGGCGCTTCTTTCACAGGCATTGATTGTCTAATACTTCTGCAATTGTGGCTGCTGACGGGCAGCCTCATTTTGACCCTGCCGATATCGTAGAAGCCTTAAATTTTTAGTTCTTAAGCCGCCATGTGCCTCCCTCGTCTGGCCCCCCAACTCATTGCTCACCAACTTGTTGCATGGTGAACACATTTGCTGATGAAATAAAAATCCACCCGCTCAATCTCAGTTAACTAGCCCACTTGAATTTCTCCCTCAATAGACTTAGCGACTCTAATTTTCAAGTTCCTGATGACATCCTCCCGCTCATCCAAAAGCTGGTGGCCCTAATATACCCAATCTCATCCCTAACCTCTTCAATTTCGTCCTCATTGCAGACATGGTTTAGTCATTGAAAGCATTCGACCATGATTGCTGACCATAAGTAAGTTCCACGGACAGTTACAGCTGGTTATTGTAGCCTCCATTGTACTTGCTTGCTCTCCCATACCATTAAGAGCCTTATTAAACAAACATCAAGCATCATTATAATATTGCGGTCACAATAAATCATGCCTGAAAAATTTGCGGGTAACGATGATAGCGCGAGGAAAGGGGCAACAAAAACGCTGTGTTTTCCGATTTACAAGTAGGGATCACTAAACCGGCTCGGGAAGCGAAACACGGTCGGTACCTTTTTGTTTTGTTTTGAGGAACTACGTGGCTGAAGCGAGCTCAAATCGTCAGAACTTGAGGATAGCGGACAAAAACAAGACGACGGAGGATAAAAAAATAGTCATCCTGCCTGACACATCACAATAAACTCTAAATAGCCGAAAATGAGAAACCAGAGCGACGGACCTGGTGAAGCAGCAGGGTTGGCTTTATGGGGAGCAGTTAGTGAAAGTACACAAAAATGGTTAAATTCGAATGAAGTCACAGTAGTCTGGATTTATTTAGTCGTTGAGGCGGGTGGCAACAGGTTAGAATTTTTTCCGTATTTGCAAATAATGAAGATTGTGGGTGAAATAGTGTGCTCAGGAGCAGGACGGGAGTAGTTGCGTGCGAGCTGTCAAACTGAGTATCTCAGTTCGGTACTGACCTGGCACTGACATGCGTTGGTTTCTGGATAGACCCGTAGCAGGCGTCATTTCTGAGGTGGTTGGGCTGGAATGTGCAATTCTGTGAGCAGCGAGACTATTTGGATCGCCCAAGGGAATCCGCGGAGTTCCTACATACTATAATAATAATAATAGTAATAATAATAATGTTAATTCCCAACTTGTGGGCGGCATACCGTCTGGCATGATCATAGTTTTACAGTCAGAATGGAGCATGAATGAGGGATTTGTGGGGGTACGGATTGCACAAAAAGAGGAGAATGTCGCGAACAGTGGGGAACACCTGATGATATAGCAATGATAGGTTATTTCCCAACTTTTTGGGAAAAATGGGCATGAGGTTCGACTAGATCAAAGACAGTCAGGTGGCATGAACCAAAACTGAAAACCTTGCTGGCCATGAGTGACCTTGGGCGGTTAGGTAAATGGCCGGAGTCGCAACGGGCAACAGTGGAGATGGGGATGAGATGAGTCAAATCGGGAGCACATGTCAAGTTTTGTCTG